GACCCCTTCTTTGTGGTGAAAGGGTGAGTGTCGCCGAGGGCTCCGCTGGAGGAGGAGGTGGCCGTGCTGCATGCCCGCACCTCCCCGCTCTCCTCGCTGTAGGGGGAGGGGAGACAAGTAGAGGCTGGTGAGGGGACCGGGGGGACTGGGCTTAGCCTTGAGGGCCATGATCAACCATCCAGGGACATCTCTTCACTGTCCTACCTGTACTTTGAAATCCTTGTCCCCAATCAGGCTCCTGGGGAGGGGGTCCCCTTGGGTCTGGGCCCTGCCCTACAACTTATTTGTGGGAGTGGTGGGGTTCAGCAGCTCTGCAGGTGGGGAGGGAGACATGCGTCCCAGCCCAAACTGGGGCTGTTGTGGAGCACGGGGCCCTGCTTCGAAGGGGGAAAAACAGCATCTGGGCAGGAAAAGGGAAATGGCTCTCCTGAGCTTTGTAGTTGGCGTGGACGGGGGTGAGTTCCCATTGTCCATTGAGTTTGGAGCGCCGGCCCGCAGACTGGTGAGGCCACAACATGCCCAGAGGCGTCTGAGCACGTTTGCAGGCAGGGAGGCGGGGGCGCGAGGCTCCGGAAGACATCTCAATTCAGTGGGGGAGTTTTTACTGAGTAATGGGAGGGAGGAAAGCAGCCGTTCAGGCTCAGTGATGATGTTGGAAGGAAAACAAAATGAAATCAGCCAAGCTAAACTTTCCTTAGCCTCCTATTAGTACCGGGATTTTCCCACAGTGCTAAAGGAAATGAGTGGTTTCTTTTTAACTCCCTGATTTCATCCAGGCTCTTTGACAGGTTTCCCCCATTTCTTCTGCCTTTCAGACTACAGCTGCCTTGACTTATTTTTCCCTGTGAGCTGTCGTGACTCCATCTTTGATTGCTCAGTTGTTTGGAGATAGAAACTTTAATAGGTTTTGTAGCCCTTAAACAAAGGCGGTTTGTTGTTATAACTTGTCAGCTTTTGTTTAAAATATCAAATAAATATAAAAAACCTGAGAACTGCAAAATTCCCGGAAGATCAGTGCTACTAACTTTGAAAGTGTCCATTTGCTTTCAACTAGTTGCTACTAGCTTCTTATTTCTCTAGGGGTAAGAGCTGACCCGTTGCTTGAGTGATTTTTTTTTTCTTTCCAGGGCCCGCCTCAGAAAATTTAAATGGTACTTTAGGTGAAATACTTTATTATCTATGATACAGTAAAATATATATATATATTTTAACATTTCCCTAAAAAGGTTTTTCTTCAGTTTGCCTTAATTTAGATGGGAAAATGCTGTTCAGATTATTCGTAATGTGTGGCTCTCTACTTGGAAAATGTGCTGTTTATTAGAACGATCTTTAGGCGTTAATTTTTAAATGCGAAAGCCGTGTGTTTTTTCCCTGAATGAATGTCCTTAATGCTTAGGTTGCAAAGGTTATCTCTGTCAGTGGAGACTGTAGACAGAGTTTTTTTTTTTAATGGGATTTGTGACAATGCTAAATTCCTCTGCCATCTTGACATTTTTTTCTAATAGTATCCAATACAGTTTACCTGTGCTTTTTCACTGGTTTGATACCACTGGTTTATTGGAGCATTGGCCTGGAGTTAACTTTTACATCATTTAGCTCATGTCCTTAAGATGTCTGCAGGAAAAGAGACTCTCCAAACCTTCTGTGTTGGAAAAGTAAAATTAGCTATATGATTGTCTCCCAGACTGTGTGATGGATATGCGGAGCCATGTACTTCTGTTTACTAAAAGGTTTAAAAATGCACCACACAATATGGAAAAATTAAAGATGCCTACATTGTGGCCCTTGGCCTAGGAGCTGATAGTCTAATCTAAGAAACAGCTCACCCCAAAATTAAAAATGACAAGTGGTAAATGATGAAGTTTTGCAGTGAGTGCTACAGAAGATTGAGTCCCCCGATATTTTGGAGAAAGGCATCTCACTGGGAATGGTTCTCATTGGCAAAGCTTTTTGGAGACAGCAGCAGGTCTTGAATTAGGTTTTGAAGATGGGTGGAACTTCGATTCAGGCCTGTACCTTCTCTGGACTCTTATCAGAAAGAGTCTCTTAGTTGGTCTTCCTGCTTCCAGTCTTTGTTCTCTTTCGTCTGCCTGGGTTTCTTGGATGGTGCTCTTCAAGATGCAGTGCGAGCCCTGCCTGCCATTGTACACTTCCTAATAGACATGGTCAAAGGAAAAAAAACAGGTGAGGTTAATGTCATCTTTAACCTAGTATAGTCACAGTCCTTTAACACGTGATTCATATGAAGACTATTAATGAAAGGTTTTACCCTTTTCATACTAAGTCTTCAAAATCTGGTGTCTTTTACGCTTAAAGCACATCTCAATTTGGACGCTAAATCATCAGTAACACTTGATCCGTATTTAGAGTTCGTTAAACTTACAGTTGAAAAAGTGGATTCACAGACCCAAATTGTTCCAAACATACTTTAAAAATTTTCGGTAACTAAATTGCATATCAGTTTTTAAATTTAAATTAATTAAAATTTAAAATTTAGTTCCATAGTCACACTAGCACAGTTCAGCAGTTGCATGTGGCCTACGTATTGGGCAGCACAGGTGTAGCTCTTCCAGAACCCAAGTAGGCGGTCCCTACTTAACATCATTTAGAGGCCACCCTCTACAGAATAAAGTCTAAACACCTCATGACTCCATGATGCAGCTGTCCTCTCCCCTCCTCTCACTCCGTCTGCCCTTAGCTCAGAGCTCCAGCAATGGGAGACTCAGCATAGTGACTGTGACCGCAGTGCTGGGTGCTGTTACTCCACATGCACCCACTCAGCTTTCAAGATTCAGTGTCAGCGTCTCCACTGCCTCCGGGAAGTTCTTCTGTTGGCACCTGTAACACATTATTGCACCTCTTCCTCTGGCTGTCCTTCAGGATTAGACTAGGAGCTCTGAGGGTTGGGAATGGTTTGTTTTTCCTGTATTTCCAGCTCAGCACCCTGAATATATAGTGTAAGTGTTGAATACGTTTTCTTTGGTGGTTGTGATGGTGGTTAAGGAGTGGTAGATGGGAACACCACCAGCAAAGACTTTGAGATGGGCATTGTGTGTTTAGAAATCATCAAGGGGAGCATCCTAGGTGGAGTAGGAAGTTTATTTAGAGAAATAACAATAATAGCTAACATTTAAAGGACGCACCTCTTGTGCAAGGCGTTGTGTGCTGAGTAAGCAGTTTATAAGAATTTTCACTTTTTAAGAACAACTCTATGAAGTGGATATTAGCCCCATTTTACAGATGAGGAGCTCAGGGAGCACAGAGGGGTTGTTACTTCCCCAGGGTCACACAGCTAATAAGTGGTGGACCCAGGATTCAAATTTCAGCTGCCTAATTCTACTCATACTGTTAACACTTCACAGTACAGGTAGAATAGGGTCAGGAAGAGGTTCATCTTAAGGCCACTGGAGATTTTTAAAGCAGGGAAATGACATGAGATTAGGGTTTCAGGAGTATTGATTTGGTAGTAGTGTTGGATGCATCAGTGTGAAGAAAGGCTAAAAAGGAGACCAGTTAGAAAGCTGTTTTGATTTAAATACGCAGTGATTCGTGCCCAAGTGTGTGAAGCTCGTTTTGTGAGGTTTGACCCTGTCAATACCTTCTTCGTGTTCAGAGCAGGATCCCAGAACACAGGAGAAAACCAGCACAGTTGGGCACCTGGGTTCTTGGGGCAGATGTGGCCCTGCCTGGCGCAGACATTCGCAGCGGTGCTTCCACTCCCACAACTCCCAGCTCTGCTGAATCACCTCGGCCTGCCCTTAAGTTGTCGTTTGTCTAGTTGACGCTATCTTGTGTGTTCTTACCGGGGGAGCCTGATGCTCCCATTGAGTCAGATCCCCCCAGTGTATCTGTGCATACCCCATACCCCAGTCACTCGGATCCAACTCTTTCCCGAGTGTTCCTCTGTGTTTTGTGCTAATTACTTGACATTCCCCATACTGTGGGGTGGATATCTTACCTTTTTCTCTTTTTCTTTTCCTTCCCCCTCTTAGCCCTCCTCACTTCTGACTCTGCACTCCCCTTCAGTCCTGTGTCCCCTAGGTCATCGGGTCCTATCAGTGCACCCCCTGGATATGTCTGGAGTCTTCTCTTCCTCTCTGGTTTTGGTTCCTCCACCCTCGTTCTTGTCCTTTCCCACCTGGACTCCTGTCACCGCTGCCACATGTGACCACACAGACACTATCAAGTCATAACTCTGCTGAAATCCTTCATTCTAAAATACTTACCGAGTGTCTGTTTCCTATGTGCCAGGAGCTAAGGGTACAGCAGTGAACAACATCCCCGTCCTTATTAAGCTTACATTCTAGGGACAGACAGCAAACAAGTGAACAGATATATGGTGTGTCAGGCGGTGGTAACTCTGTAAGAAGAGTAAAGCTGGGTAAAGGAAACGAGTGTTCTGGGTGTAATTTTTCTTTTAATGTGATTTCCAGAGGCAGTGAGGTTTGGTGAAAGAACTGAGACGATCAGGCTGACCCAAGGTTGGAATCTCATCTCTGTCAATTACTTGGTGTAACTTTTGCCACGTTAATTATCCTCTCTGAACCTGTTTCTTTATGTACAAAATTGGCTTAACAATGTCTGCTGTACCAGTTATGAGTTAATTCATGTAAATGGCCACAGCACAGTTTGGGGGCACATATTAAGTGCTCAGTAAACGTTTTTTTAAAAAAAATCTACTTCTATTTCTCCTAAAAATATCCAAGCTGGCTGCCCTTTCTGAGAGGAAAGACGGTGTCTTACTAGTTTTGGAGGTTGGTTGGTTGGTTGGTTTTAGAGTAACATTTAAAGTCATATATGCTCATTTTAGAAAACTTAGGAAATAAAACTATTTAAAAAAGAGGATTAAAAATTGATTGCAGTGCCACCGTCTAGAAATAATTAGTTAAAATGTTGATGTCTTTTTGATCTGTATTTCTACTAGTGATTTTATGTAATACTGTCCATCAATTTCTGATCTCTTATAGATCAGGCACTGTGCTGAGAACCTAACTGGGATGGTTTTTTTAATCCTATGAAGTAG